CCAGCTGGACAGTTCTCCAAATTTTAATTTGGTCATTCTACAACAGTAGACAATTAGATTTCCAAGCTAATAAAAAATGATCTAATAAAAACTTCCTGACATAAGCCTACTAGCCACCATCTTTCCACAAGGCTGATTTTAAGGAATGGGTAACCTTGACTTTTCTTGAAACCATAGGCACTCCACACCTGGCTCTCCCCCATCTTCCTGTGTTGGACTATTCAGTGGGTCTGAGAGTACCTGGGAGGGAGGCGACAGACAAGTGAGGCCACACACTCATGCCCCTTCTGTGAGAATTTAAGGGGCTGGTCATTTTAACCTACACAGGTGCAGCCGCACTGTCAGCATGGAGACCGGATGCCAAAATGTTCAGCTCTGCTCTACCATCCTCAACGTGACTTTCCCCCCTGAGGTCATCGGACCACTTTTCTTCTTTCCTCTCCTCTACATGATCTGCCAGCTTGGAGAAGGGCTTCTCCTCATTGCCATCTTTCGGTGCTATGAGAAAATCAAGCCTTCCAAGGGTGAGTCCTGAGTTATTCTTGGCTCCCATATTGGAGCAAGTTTCTGGCAAGGACCTTTTGCACGGGACTATCTACAACTCTTATTAGGTCACTAGGAACCAGGTAGCTCCAAAGCTACTTCATTAACTGCATTCCGTTAGGGATGGAGTTTGCCTCATGGGACTGAGGCAATTTTGGCCGCTTTAACTGGGGAGACCACTTGTAAGGCTCAGGATGAGAAAGGAGAGCAGAACTGTCTTGGTCATTAGAGAGTTGTGAGATGAGTTGTGCAAAAGTGTTGTTGCCCATTGAGGTCTCTCCCCCTACCAAAAAAGTGCGATAGGAAATATTTCAAAACCAACCAGGTTTCCATTGCAGTTTTAGTCCCAGAAAGGCCTGAAGTGCCCTCAGATGGCCATACTCTTAATGATGGGTCTTTGGTTCTCAAGACCTAACAAAGGACTTCACTCACAGTGCACTTCAGAAGACCCCTGTGGCAAAACTAACTGGAAACTACTTAACACACCGTTAAGAGCCCAAGTAGCAGTGCTCAGGGTGAAGAATCTGTCAAGTTTTTGTGATTTTGACCCCTGTACCTTTCTAAAGATTGGAGATCAGGAAAGGTAGGCCCTGACTCCTTCCTTCACAGCTCCTCACTTCCCTACAGACAGGAAAAGTTTAGACCAAACAACATGAGGGGAGAGACATGGCAGACTTCACTCTGGAAGACTTCCCTAAAGCTCTTTCCTTCCTGACTCCTCCTTGCTCCCAGAACGTTAAGTCAACCTCCTTAAACCCTACGGTATTGCACATCTGAAGAAGTTGGGAGATGGTCATGAAGAGTCAATACTCTGCTCAATTTACTGGACCTTTTGTTACTAGTATTACCATTCCTTGGAGTTAAATCATGGGAGGAGAGGTGGTCGAGGTGGAAAACCAAAGCACACCCTAGGGGTGAATTGGTAACTTTTATCTTCCAGGTTGAACACGTTTTGTACCAACTACTCTCATTCTCCTCTCTCACCTGTGACCCTTTCAACCTTACAGATAAAACAAAAATGATCTACACAGCTGCCACAACTGAAGAAACTATTACAGCAGCTCTGGGAAATGGCATCCATAAAGAGTGGTCCTCTCGCACAGCCCAGCCTTCCCCCCCAGTGACCTGGACTCAGAAGGCCAGTGTGGACAACTACAGAGAGCAGAAAGATGAAAAAACACCAGTGGTGTCTGTCTAAGTCTTTCTGAAACATTTCCAGCAGCAACTATCAGGATCACCAAGCCTTGCCTGGAGGACAGAATAGGGGTCTACCCTAAACTCACCTATCGCCAGCTGAGAATTTGATACCTATTTAAAAAATAAAAAGGAAGACTTGTTAAATGACAGCCCTATGAAAGCAAGAACCAAGACTGCCTTTTACCCCTGCATCTCGAGAAAACTGCCTGATAGGCATATAGAAGGCACTCAATTTCTTCATTAGTCAAAAAATGGTTTTACCATAAAATCAAATACCTAAATCCTGTTCCAAATTTTTGACTAAAAACAAAATAAATGTTCAGATGGCAGAATTAGACCTCAGAAGCACTAACCTTAAAAATTCAGATCCCATCCCTTCCCTTTTGACATCACTACTCGGACTAAAGTTCCTGAGGACACAAACATGACACCAAGTACACAAAAGCAGACATGATAAAATGCAAAAGCAATGAGAAGACAAACACAAAAACTCAGCCATAATGAAACATTTTGGAAGACTACAATCCCAGAAATAGAGGAAAATTTTAACGAGGAAAAGCCAGGCAACAAAAACCAAAATTCAACAATTGTTTCACTAATCTAATAATCTATCCCATCAGTTCATTAGGTAGGTCCCTGTAGTTTTCATACTATAGTTCCTCAAAATTCAGAGTATTCAAAATAATTGCCAAAATGAGTGGTTTCTCAAAGAAAAATACTCAAATTGGAATTTCTAAAAGTTCAAATTATCTCCAATGAAATTTAAACATTTTGCTATTAGTCATGTGCAAACAAGCATTAGATGAAAGACTCAAGAACAATATTAACACTTGGAAACAACTGACCATGCCTCATACTTGTGATTTTTCATATCATTTAGTTACAACTGTTCCCAAGGCAGTATTAGGGCATCAGTCTGGCAAATGTCCAGGACTACCAGTACCAGA